ACATCATAACAAATGCAAGAAAGATGAACATACAAACTGATACAAGTAGAGAGTGAAAAACACACGGAGACCGAAGATCCTAGAAACAGACAAAAGCGCAGACCGAACGAAAGCCAGAGATCAAGAAGGAGTGATTGGAGTGAGATAGTAAAGGGAGGGAGGGAGGGGGGGAGGGATGGGAGGGAGGGAGGGAGGGAGGGAGGGAGGGAGGGAGGGAGGGAGGGAGGGAGGGAGGGAGGGAGGGAGGAGGGGAGCAGGAGGGATCAGAAACCTGAGAGCCTCGAGCGAGGGAGGGCTGATCCACACAAAAATCTGGAGGAAAGATTAGCGACATGGTCGAGGGAGAGGGGGAGGAGGAGGAGGAGGAGGAGGTGGTGGTGGAGGTGGTGGTGGAGGTGGAGGTGGAGGAGGTGGTGGTGGAGGAGGAACCGGCTCAAGTTTCGTCTTGCGAATCTGTTCAACTCCGGCCAAGTCGATGTGAAGGATCTGAAAGCCCCTCAGGATGCAAATGAAGGGAGGAGGAGGTGACGAAAGGGAAGCAAGGAGAGGAGGTAGCTTGTAAGCCAGAAAGCAGAAGAAGAGGAGGTGGCAAGAACCAGGAGACTGGAACAGCAGAGGAGAGTGGGGGTGAGGGATGTGGTGGAAAAGAGGCTGAAGGGAGGATGGAAAACAGAGAGCAGCGAGAAACGCAAAGAGGAGAGGAGGAGAGCAGTAAGACTAAGAGATAAGAAGGAAAGGAAGGAAAGGAAAATTGGCGTACGCAAATCTTTCCAGCATTGATCTGATTCTTAACAATCTTTTGATTTGACAAAGAGGTCAGGTGTGAACAAACCAGGAAACATGCACCAAATCACCTGCATGGCAGTGCCGTACAAGTCTCCATCGATCTCCGCGACTTCCAGGAACATTCCCTTGATCGACGTCATCTCAGCGTGTGAAAAGCGGTAGAAACCTTCTTGATTCCATCCTGCATCTCTTCGCGCGAGATGAAGATGTAGTCTTCGCCATCGCACTCGTCCTCGTTCGGCGTCCTGCCCCTCCCTCACCACCTGCCCCTCGCCTCCTCCTCCTTACCTCGACGTGTGCGCTATGGGAACGCTGAACTCCGACTGGAACTCCTGCCATGTCGTCACCTCCAGTCACAAGCTCCGACCCCCACCCGGAGGATCATCGAGATGAGTGTCGCCTTGCCTACGCTCGGGGGACCTGAAAAAGGTCAACAAAGGGGCAGGCAGGCAGGCAGGCAGACTTGTACCTGAGATCACTAGTGGGCTTGGAAACAAACCTTCACGAACACGCGCGAGACCCTGGCAAGCAAGATGAATTTGCGATGTTCGGATCAAAACTCCTCCTCCTCCTCCTCCCAACCCCCCCCCCTCCTCTCTCTCTC